AGTGCCGCTGCCCGAATCGCCTCTCGAGTGCCGCGGTGAGGGCCTGGAGCTCATGCTGCTCTGCCGGGGCTAGGTCAAGGAGTATCTGCAGTGCATCTCCCTCCAATGCTAGCGCTAGGTGTGTAGCAGCCTCCTCTTCGCTCCAGCCACTATGCCTGGCGGCTAGCCGGACTTGTGAGAGGTAGGCCTCTAGCGGGGTTAGCCTGCCGGTGTGTGGGTCGACAGAGGCAGCCCATGAAGCATTGTCCTAGCGTCTGTCGCGACAGGCCGCCGCCGCGGTGAGCTTGCACCATCGGGACCCGTCGGGGGAGTTACATGGCCGCTCGCTTCCTCTCTCTTCAATCGCCAGCTTCCCAAGCAGTGAATGTTCTCCTCGACAGCTTGCTCCAGCCTCTGAATGTCTCTCTCCATTACGGTGAGGGTGAGCTATCCCACTTCTGACACCAATGTGGCGAGCTCAGACAAGGAGGAGACAGAGGTTTCGTTCGGTCTTGCTTCCCCGCCGTCCTAGTCAGGGAGCACAGCCCTTTTTTTATATAACTGACAGAAGAACACTGCCGCTAGCCAACTGCTCAGCGTGGCACCAGCACAACAACAACAAAAAAAAGCCGCTCTCTCACCGCAAACACACAGTCGCAGAGAGAGCATCACCTGTAACCATGGCAACAGAACAACAAAACATAACTGTCAAAACAAAACCCAGAACAACCCTGACCCGCTACAATATTATAATGTGACCCACGATTAAGTGCATAGTTCCCCAGTAATTAAATGGAATTTAAATGTATTTTAATTGAAATAACAATCTAACTATAATTATAAAATTTAAAAGCATGCTCAATAATCAAGGTAAGGAGAGTTTATTCTCTTCATCTGGACGTAGCATTTTCGGTGTATCTTGGTGTATCTGTGGGGATGGTGTTCTGCTCATGTTGGTAATCCAAACACGTGACACTTCTGGTTTTGTGTAATGGCTTCAGTAAACAAAAAATAAAATTATCTAAATAAAAGTATTTTTTTTTAAAATAAAATGTTAGCACAATAGCACCAGCAAACTATTGATTTTTTATTTTTTTATTTTTTTACTAAAATATACCCCATTTGTTCAGTTCACATTTTATACCTGAACAAATTTTCTTCAAACTACAAAGTATTTATACAGATAAGGATCAACTCTATAGCCATCCATCCTTTTTGATCACTTTCCACCAGAAAAGAGGTTTGATGTTTTCCATGTTTTTGTTTCATTACCAAAAACTTTCAGAGCAGTTGTTTTTTTTATGTTTTTTATGCTACATGCTAACATGCAAAACCACAATGCAGTTATTTAATACTTGTATTTAAAAAAAATGTTTTGTATTTTGTTTTTTCAAGTGTATATCATTCTACTTATTGATATAATTAATAAATATTAATAGTACACATGACTTAATTTTGGATTATTAATTGTCATCAATTAGTTAATTAATTATTAACAAATAGCAATAATTGTTGTGTTTAATTTTCTTCATATTCTTAATTTTATTTATAGTTGTTATAACAGAATAATTTAGAAAAACGTGTCCAGATGTAGCTAGAACTTTAGTGAACTTAACTCAGCCCAAGTCTAGATGGGTTTGCACATAATAATAAAAATAAAAATACACCGACATAAATCAGAAAACCTCTTTTATTAATTATAACTGAGAAATCACTTTTAGACATCAAACATACACACACATATATATATTTATGTTTACCTTAAAATGAGTCAGAGGAGCCTAACTCACTAAAAAAAAAAAAAGTGGAATTGCTGCACATATTCAGACTTTATTGTTCCATTGAGACAAGCTTTAAAATACTGGTTTTAATTCTGACACCACCACCAAGTTCTAAATCTGTAGATTGTTACTGTAACCCTGCCACCTCTGTCACCACCAAAAATAATCAACCAAAACCTGCATGTCAATATTGTTCTGTTTACTCATTTGCTATTCAAATCATGCTTGTCTGAGCTTACAGAGGGAATAACAAATGGCCAATGAAGGTGCTGTGGTTGTTGACATTATCATAGATCCAGGTGTCCGGACGGAGCCTCATGTACACCTGGTCTCCTGCAGCCAGCTGCAGAGTCATGCCATTGGTGGCTGTCTCATAGCGATTTCCAGCAGCATGGTTGTACACTGTCACCATCTGCTCTCCATTCTTCATCAGACGCAGCCCCATCGGTCTAGTTGATGTATTATGACCAGAGAAGCTGAAGTAATAAACTCCTCTGACCGGAGCAGTAAAAATACCTGGAGATGATGGACACAGTTACAGCTTATAAAGCAGAGCAGAAGATCAGTGGTAGTGAAATGCAGCACTTCTCTAATAAATAAACTCACATGTGTATAAATACACATAATTATGGTAAGTTTACCTGTTGCAGGGTTGTAAGAACCTGAGTTAAAGTAGACATTTTTGTAAGTCAGTGTGATCTCTGCATTCATTGGTCCAGTATTTCCAACATTGCCGATAGATGCTCCAAATGCCACACGGTTGCCTGGAGTTGCATGGAAATATGGGATTATTTGGTTTGGTTTGACAACAACAAAACATGAACCTGTATCAGTACACTGATAAAGATCTATACATGTCAGAATAAAAACTTCCAGCTGTGTTATGTTCTTACCTTGGATTGATGATTTCAGATCTGCCAGCTGTTTCTCAGCATTATTCAGCTTGGATTCTAGTTGTCGTAATATTAGGAAAAATTGTTCATTTGTCCCAGCACAGAGTTGAGGTGTCTCAACAATGGAGCCTTCACTTTCAGATGCTTGGCCATCCACCTGAGGGAAGGCAACTGCACACAGAAAGAAGAGGTATAAGGTTAAGACTGCAGTCTTCATCTTTTCAGAATTTCTCTTCATCTGTGTTAGTTCCCCCCACAAGGCTCGAGATATATACTGTATCACAAAGACGGAAGTGTCCCTATTTTTTTCCTATCCAATAAACAAGCACAAAGAAAACTCAGAGATATTAATTATCTGCAATGTGATTGAGACAAGATAACACTTCACGAAAAACCTGTTTTAAGCCCCATGAATGATCCTTCTCTTTATAAGCGGTGTAACATGAGTGGTTAACTGAAATAACAGCAGAAATAGCAAAAGCAACTGTCTGTCAGTACGCAGTGAGTAATGTTGGACTTCTCGCTGGAAATCAGCAGCAGTAGTAGTCAACATTATAAATAGCAATTTCAGCTACATTCTAAGGTGAACTTGAACGCAACATTTAAACTGAGAATTTTTATACTGGAGATTACAAAGTAAAAGTTGTGAAAGCATGCAAATGCAATACAATAGTCTAACAAGCAAACCTATTGTTAGAATTAAGGCATCCAGCTGTCCTGCTCTTCTTTAGGGCATGTGCAGGACCATCTTGTGCCAGTACAGAATGTGATGTCACTAGCTTGGTCAGTTGGTTACTACTTATAAACCCAATTAATTTATTTAAGTTAGCTAACTAATGACATAACTGAGCGTTTAACAATGAAACTAAAAAATAGGAGGTTTTATGTGAAAAACCAACTACATACTGCCAACTTTCATTCAGTTTGTTAAGTAGAAAGTGGTCGTTTTTTCTTGCTGGTATGCTGATGGATACTGGATTCCCTTTTGTGCTTTGGTGACAAGTATATGTTTGTGGTGTGATGCATGTGTAGAAACAAGTTGTTAACTGTTTGGGTGTGCTTGGGAAAATAGACGATTTTATTGCATAAAACTGTGCTGAGCGGATTTTGTGAATACCTGCTCTGACAGCTGATTGTACCATTTGGTCTCTACATACAACCCGATGAGTTCAAATCAAACACATAGTGAATAGTGTCAGACTTCAGCTTCTCGGTCTTGTGACCCACAAGTTCACCTAACTCACCTGACTAACAGGTAGAAATTTTCATTTCAGTGGAGCTAGCAAACAATAAGGAAGTTAATGAGGGTTGAATACCTTAACTGTCTGTTTATTGAAAACCTGCTGTTTGAGTAGCATTTCTACCGCATACCTTAGCTCTTCTTAAAAAAAAACAAAAGATAAATGTCATAAGAAGGTCACGTCTAACCTTCACTAATGCTGTTTATGTGACACAGGCAAGGCAAGGCAAGGCAAGTTTATTTGTATAGCACAATTCAACAACAAGGTGATTCATGCTTTACAGAGACATTAGAAACAAAAACAAATAAAAAGCATGATTTAAAATTGATTAAAACAAGCAAACTAACTAACTAACTAACAAACAAACAAACAAAACAGGATATAAAATCAAAAATCAAAAAAAGATAAAATCCGAACAGTAGATAGAATCAGTAGTTAAAATGTACGTTTTGAAATTTAAGCTTAAGTGCGGATTTGGTGCTTTATTCAAATGCAGCTGAGAACAGGTGAGTCTTCAACCTGGATTTAAATAAACTGAGTGTTTCAGCTGATCTGAGGCTTTCTGGGAGTTTGTTCCAGATATATGGAGCATAAAAGCTGAATGCAGCTTCTCCGTGTCTGGTTCTGACTCTGGGAACTGATAAAAGACCGGATCCAGATGACCTGAGGGATCTGGAAGGTTCATACTGGGTCAGGAGGTCACCGATGTATTTTGGTCCTAAACCATTCAGAGCTTTATAGGCCAGCATCAGAACTTTAAAGTCTATCCTCTGACGGACAGGCAGCCAGTGTAAAGACCTCAGAGCTGGACTGATGTGGTCCACTTTTTTGGTCTTAGTGAGGACTCGAGCAGCAGAGTTCTGAATGAGCTGTAGTTGTCTGACTGATTTTTTAGGCAGACCTGTAAAGATGCTGTTACAGTAATCAAGCCTACTAAAGATGAATGCATGGACTAGTTTTTCCAGGTCTTGTTGAGACATCAGATCTTTTATCCTTGATATATTCTTCAGGTGATAGTAAGCTGACTTTGTTATTGTCTTAATGTGTTTTTCTAAGTTTAGGTCTGCATCCATCACTACACCCAAATTTACGCCTGGTTTGTGGTTTTTAGGTGTATAGATTGAAGTTCTCTGGTGACCTGTAATCGTTTTTCTTTGGCACCAAAGACTATTACTTCAGTTTTGTTTTTGTTTAGCTGGAGAAAATTGTGGCACAACCAGTCATTAATTTCCTCAATGCATTTACAGGGCCTCGGTCTCCTGGTGACATTGTGATATATATTTGTGTGTCATCTGCATAACTATGATAGTTTATTTTGGTGTTCTTTATAATCTGTACCAGTGGGAGCATGTAAATGTTAAACAGAAGGGGTCCCAAGATGGAACCTTGGGGAACTCCACATGTGATACTTGTCTGCTCAGATGTGAAGTTACCTATTGATACAAAGTATTTCCTGTTTTCTAAGTATGTTTTGAACCAGTTTAGTACAGTTCCTGAAAGACCTGCCCAGTTCTCCAGTCGTTTGAGTAATATGTTGTGGTCAACTGTATCAAATGCTGTCAAAGGAGCTTGCAAAGAAAAGCGTCTGGACTTCTTTAAGTTGCTTGAAGACGTTTCACCTCTCATCCGAGAAGCTTCTTCAGTTCTAAGGTCAAATGGTGGAGAGTCCCAGATATAAACCTAGTGGGAGGGACCCCCCACAGAGGGACAAAAGGACCCCTCTGTGGATGTCAAATGCTGCACTGACATCCAGTAAAACTAAGACTGACATTTTTCCACTGTCTGTATTCAGACATATGTCATTAAACACTTTTGTCAGAGCGGTTTTAGTGCTGTGGTTCTGTCTAAAACCTGACTGGAAGGCATCAGGCAGCACGGTGGCACGGTGGTTAGCACTGTTGCCGCACAGCAAGAAGGTCCTGAGTTCAATTCCAACATCAGGCCGGGGACTTTCTGTGTGGAGTTTGCATGTTCTCCCCGTGTTTCTGTGGGTTCTCTCCAGGTACTCCGGCTTCCTCCCACAGTCCAAAGACATGCAGCTTGTGGGGATAGGTTCATTGAATAATCCAAATTGTCACTAGGTGTGAATGAAAGTGAGTGCGAATGGTTGTTTGTCCCTGTGTGTTGGCCCTGCGACAGACTGGCGACCTGTCCAGGGTGTACCCCGCCTCTCGCCCTATGACAGCTGGGATAGGCTCCAGCGCCCCCCGCGACCCTGAAAAGGATAAGCGGAAGCGGATGGATGGATGGATGGAAGGCATCATAGCAGTTATTCTGTGAAAAGAAGTAATTGAGCTGTTGAGAAACTGCTTTTTCAATGATCTTACTTAAAAATGGGAGATCTGAGATCGGCCTGTAGTTGTTTATTTGTGTCTTGTCAAGATTGTCCTTTTTCAGGATAGGTTTAATTACAGCAATTTTTAGTGATTCTGGAAACACACCTGACATTAAAGAAAAGTTGACGATCTGTAACAGGTCTGACTACAAAGTCTTTGAGACCTTTTTGAAAAAGGGAAATAAAAGTCTTCAAATGAACTTTTTCCTTTATAGATAATCATCCAACTGGTCTATACTGGTCTGTATTCAGCTAAGAAAGGTGGCTCAAATAAGGGCTTTTTAAGTAATGGCTTAATTGCTGCAACATTGAAAGCCTGTGGTGCATAATCTGTGAATACCAATAATACGGTCAAATTTCAAATTGAAGCATTAACTCAAGACTGTCATGGTCCGGGTGAATGGCGGCATTTTACTATAATGTGTGAAACATGTTTCACATGTATCCCTCATGAATGATATCAAGTCATCTTGAGTCACAAACAACATTCCTGTAAGAAGGTAGTTAGTTTTTTGCCAGTGACTTTTATATATCCTTTATTTATCGAGTTTAAAAAAAAATATCATTGACATTACAAATGTCTTTTTTAAGAGTAATCTGGCCAAGGCAACAGCAGAAATTGCAACAAATATAACAATAGTTCTGTAAACATATTTTAATTTGACAAAAAGGACCGCATTGATTTTTATAATGTAAGTACAATATCACAAAGTTATAAAGATACTTAAAAAAGAGGTAATTTTATATATTTTATATATAACCCATCTGTAGACCTAGTTCACCAAAGTCTATTTACCAACATATGTAAAGACATTACTCATAAAAAACACATGGAAGCATTCGAAATCATTTTTTGGCAGGTGATCACTTTTTGGCACAACGGCTTCCACCTGCAAAGACTGTAAGACACTCAAAGTAATGCACCTCTTCCTGCCTGACCAATCACAGGCACACCCTCTTTGTGTCCTAGTGTCTCTGACCTTCACTGCCTGAGTCACGACCCTCTCCCTGAGACTCCCTTTTCCCGTCTGCTGTGTAGTTCACAGCCCCGTCTGACATTTTAGTTCATAGTTTTGTGTTTGATATCGTAGTTCATGGTTGACACTTTAACTCCCAGTCACGTTTACTTCATTGTTCATAGTTCATGTTTTTATTATTGATGTTTGGAACACTTCAGGTCTCACTTTGCACTCTGTTAATTAAGAGTCACATTTTTGTTAATAATGTTTTTGTCTTCTTGTTCTAACCTCGCCTCCGTGCTGTCTGCATTTGGGTCCACTTACCTAATTCATGCAGTAATCACTAGTTAATGCAATGTTTTTTTTGACAGCCTGGCTACAGTGGTGAAAAGAAACCTGATGTGGCTCCTATTTTAATCTACCAGTGATGAACAGTAAGAAGTGCTAGCTTTACACAGGGAATTTTATACAGTGATAGACAATTTTTCCAGGACAAACAAAGGTCTTGTAGATTAGTGTTATGGGATTTCTACTTTGTAATCAGCACCATGGGAGTCAAGCATTTCTGATTTGTTGCTTTCTTTGTGAAAGGAGCCCCAGTATAAAGAGTTGTGGAGGAAGAGTTTAGGTAGCACGTCTAAACAACTACTGTAGTTTTAAAGCCAAAACTAGCTGTTTATTAAGACCTTTGATAAAACTTTAAAGGTCAATAAACAT